GGTCAAATGTAACAAATGTTACATTGAGGATAACACTTCCTCAGTAAGGTACAGATTCTCGTACTTTGAGAATCGAACCCACACTGCCTTTGTGTGCTGGGTGCTTCACTCTTGCAGTGTGGGTTCGAGTCCCGGACGGGACTCAACCGCAAAAAGTACGAGAATCTGTCCTTTACTAAGAAAGTGTTATCCCAAATATAACATTTGTTATAAAGGTCTAGTTTCTGGAAACTGGAGTTTTACAGTCAGCTAACTCCCTTGCCCCGGGAAGATGAACGTCGTGTATATAAGCCCATGAATGCGGTAGCATCGACGATGGTCATCTTTAAGCAATATCCAGCAATATCACGGCAGGGGACACCAGAAATAGGCTTCATTTTATTCATGTCGGGAATCGAACGCGGGTCTTCGGCGTGACGAGAGAATGCTTTAACCACTAGGCTACCCGACCGCCTCTGGTGATCGTTAACCTCATAAATGGTGACCGAGGTAACTTGCGAACAAACATGACCTGTCTTTGTTTGATCATCCCATTCGGTTAATCAATATTAGCCCAAGCTATGAAAACTACGCCTCCAAATATACAGGACCAGTGCATTCGTCACCTCTCGCATCATTCCGTAATCTACATTCGGCTCATCCCGGAAGGACACGAGTTGGTCACCAATTCGACCGCTGGAAGAACTGATCAACTGAATCGCACTTGGCTTATCCCGTAATGACACGAGATTGTCAAAATGGCCGGATAGAATTCTGCAAGTTACGGTTAGATGCACGTGGTGCCGAAAGGTTTGGACACAGCTTGTAGGGTCTATAAAAAAGGGTTACGCTATAATCACCAACAGAAACCAGACTCTCTTAAGGTATTTAGGCCTTCTACGCCAAAAAAGAGGAATGTACGTGGTTTGTCTGGTGTACTTATTACAGACGTGCCTATACGGCGCCAGGTCTGACAATCCAGGACGGCTGAGGCTTCATATATTCTCGATGTAATAACACTTTAATGAACTGACAAAAATTAAATTAGCCAATCCATCAATATCTTTCATATGATATGAGTAACACGTGGCCAACACGACACAAACGTACGCGCTGCCTCGTCAGCTGGGTTTGTTCGACAACAGAGCCATTACATAGCTTAGCTCTAAATCCATCATAATTATTATCAGGAGCTGTCATTCGAGCCTTCAAATATATACAGCGGCCAAACACAATACCAGACCTGACTTAATTCCTGCTCTGGCTATACACCACATACACATTATGGCTTCCTTGGCTGTTTTGCCAATACTATCAACCAAATCTTGTCCGACACGGATGAATAACTCCGAAGACGGAACCTCGATTGTTGTGGTTACCAGAATTATCAGTTCGACAGCGAAATCAATTTCAAGACCATTATGTACTTGTTTATTGTTCAACGTGTCATAGTTAATGCAACTGTCACAATGAAGGAGTGAGTGGGGTTTTAAGCCACTGGTTCGAAGGAATCTCATGGGGGTGGGGCTGTGTTTTGGGTGGGGGAGAGGGGCAGCAAGAAAGTATAGTTATCCCACCGCCCATTACAATGACCACGTATACCTGGTAAGTGGATGTTGCACTCGTTATACATAAACGGGACAAAATCACCTGAATTAACACGTCCGTCATCCTCAAAACCCAGCCCTGTCCACTTTTAAAGCGCAACACTCTACCCATCGCAGTTGTGGCCATACTCCGTGACCTTGATACCATTGACGTCAAAGCCGACGATGCAGGTCCATCAAAATCACGCCTTGAACTGGTCGTCTACCGCGAATACCTTCAGCGCGTAAACAGTTCCTCACTGTTTGGGCTGATATCCAACGCAATTGCTGTAGTTGTAGAGGTGGCCGTGGTGGTTCTTTCACGTAAGTGAGGTAGCCGTTTGTGTCTCCTGTGTGATACGTGGTCGACCGGATCGGATCTGGATCTGTCTGATAACGGTTCCAGAGTCTTGTAATGGTGCTTCGTGCTACGTGGAAAAAAAACATGGCTACAACTGAAGATGATTCTCAGTATGAAGTCGACCGATGGCGTTGTTGATGTTGGGCTTCCGTCAGTCGTGGCATGTTTTCGACGTTCACTTACTGTAAGATTGTGATGGCATGGACACAATGTATTTATACTTTGATCTATTCAGCAACAACCGTGTCACATGTTTCACAATGTTGGTTATCTACTGGTGCCTTAACAACCGTGTCCCATATCTCCCACTGCCGGGTCCACTGGTGCCTTAACAACCGTGTCCCATATCTCCCACTGCCGGGTCTACTGGTGCCTCAACAACCGTATCCCATATCTCCCACTGTCGGGTCTACTGGTGCCTTAACAACCGTGTCCCATATCTCCCACTGCCGGGTCTACTGGTGCCTTAACAACCGTGTCCCATATCTCCCACTGCCGGGTCTACTGGTGCCTTAACAACCGTGTCCCATATCTCCCACTGTCGGGTCTACTGGTGCCTTAACAACCGTATCCCGTATCTCCCACTTCCGGGTCTACTGGTGCCTTAACAACCGTGTCCCATATCTCCCACTGCCGGGTCAACTGTTGCCTTAACAACCGTGTCCCATATCTCCCACTGCCGGGTCTACTGGTGCCTTAACAACGGTGTCCCATATCTCCCACTGCCGGGTCTACTGGTGCCTTAACAACCGTGTCCCATATCTCCAAATGTGAGTTTTCTACTGGTGCCTTAACAACGGTGTCCCATATCTCCCATTGCCGGGTCTACTGGTGCCTTAACAACCGTGTCCCATATCTCCCACTGCCGGGTCTACTGGTGCCTTAACAACCGTGTCCCATATCTCCCACTGTCGGGTCTACTGGTGCCTTAACAACCGTGTCCCATATCGACAAATGTCAGTTTTCTACTGGTGTCTTAACAACCGTGTCCCATATCGACAAATGTCAGTTTTCTACTGGTGTCTTAACAACCGTGTCCCATATCTCCCACTGCCGGGTCTACTGGTGCCTTAACAACGGTGTCCCATATCTCCCACTGCCGGGTCTACTGGTGCCTTAACAACCGTGTCCCATATCTCCCACTGCCGGGTCTACTGGTGCCTTAACAACCGTGTCCCATATCTCCCACTGCCGGGTCTACTGGTGCCTTAACAACCGTGTCCCATATCTCCAAATGTCGGTTTTCTACTGGTGCCTTAACAACCGTGTCCCATATCTCCAAATGTCAGTTTTCTACAGGTGTCTTAACAACCGTGTCCCATATCTCCAAATGTCAGTTTTCTACTGGTGTCTTAACAACCGTGTCCCATATCTCCCACTGCCGGGTCTACTGGTGCCTTAACAACCGTGTCCCATATCTCCCACTGCCGGGTCTACTGGTGCCTTAACAACCGTGTCCCATATCTCCCACTGCCGGGTCTACTGGTGCCTTAACAACCGTGTCCCATATCTCCCACTGCCGGGTCTACTGGTGCCTTAACAACCGTGTCCCATATCTCCAAATGTCGGTTTTCTACTGGTGCCTTAACAACCGTGTCCCATATCTCCAAATGTCAGTTTTCTACAGGTGTCTTAACAACCGTGTCCCATATCTCCAAATGTCAGTTTTCTACTGGTGTCTTAACAACCGTGTCCCATATCTCCCACTGTCGGGTCTACTGGTGCCTTAACAACCGTGTCCCATATCTCCCACTGCCGGGTCTACTGGTGCCTTAACAACCGTGTCCCATATCTCCAAATGTCAGTTTTCTACTGGTGTCTTAACAACCGTGTCCCATATCTCCCACTGCCGGAACTACTGGTGCCTTAACAACCGTGTCCCATATCTCCCACTGTCGATTTTCTACTGGTGCCTTGACGGTTCTTCCCATACGGGTCGACGGGCCTTCCAAAGTGGGAAGAGTGTGCATATGAAAAGGATGTTGCGTTGTTAGACATCTAGAATAGAGAAATAACTCCATTTCACGTATTTGTTTTTCACAGGTGAACGTGGATGTTGCTTAGCCATATCCTGCCTGGCTGTAAACAATCGAGTCTGGACAAGAATATGTTATTGAGCGTAAGGGCGACGCCATTGTGTGTGTTGACACAAGCACAAGCAGCATGCGATACTGGGGTCTACTGGACCAGGATCGGTTAACCACAGAGTGAGTGAGATAAAAGGGATTAACGTCGTTTTGAACCACGGACTGAGGATCGATTAACGTCTGCAGGCTTACACAGTGAACTGCCGCGCCAAGTATCACCGAACCAGCCCATGCTGTTTGCTGTTAGTGGTTTGGTGGATAAAACATGAATATTGTACGGACGTTTCACTCAGTTTTGAAAGTTTTTTTTTTTTTGTCCTACAGCAATATTTCTGCTATATTGATCGCTTAATAAATAACCAAGCAAGGTCCAAGCTAACCAGTGGCAGATGATGAGCAAAGACAGATACAGAGCATTCTGCGAGGCTGCAGCACAATCACACTGAGCCTTGTGTTCTTGACACCAAGTGTAGCCCGAAATCACCATAAGGTTGAAATTTGGTGTGCTATAACGGTATTACCCTAATCAGCAATGAGATAAAAACTCTATCATACCAACAAAAAAATGAGATGAGATGAGGTGAAATGGGGTTTAACGTTGTGTTAAGATTATTGTACTAAGCCATGTGTGTGTGTGAGGGCTTGTAATAGTCTGGACTAATGCTGGTTTTATAGTGCTAGCCCACTGGGATACCATGCCGCAGTTTAACATGGATATCCCTCTCAGGCACAGTATACAAGCTCAGAGCTAACCAGTTCTTGTTTTTTCCCTTAATGCCGCACGCCAGCGCAGGCTGGGTAACAACAAGTACCTCAATTTAAACCTCATTTGGAATGACACGACGGGATAGAACCACCGACCTTCCAGTCTCCAGGCAGATGCTCTATCCACTACAACACTGAGACTGTCTTCAAAAACATGAAGAATAAAACGATATTAAGAAGTTTTTTTAGACTAAAGAAAACAAAAACCTATATTGTGTTGTTACATTTATTTAAAAACATGCAGTGATGGTCCTGTGATGGATGGTTGATGGATGGTCGATGGATGGTTGATGGATGGTTGATCGAACATGTACGCCACACTCCCCATTTCTTCTTACATCTCACTTAGTCAGACTCATTTTTTATACATTTGGACCAGATCATAATTAGACACTTGTTTCACAGTTTAGAACATTTTTGTCAGGTTGATTGAGGTATAATACCAATAGACTATTAATTCAAGTAAAGAAGTAAAGGCATACATATAGCCTTCGAGTACCATTTACATTTCCAGGGTTGGTCTCTAAACTTTCATGTTACACCTATTATATGTTTCTAAAAATGTCCGAACAAGAACAAATATTCAACTGACTCAACTCTTGCAAGATTGCCTGATGCCCCTCCTATTACTTTTCAAATTTTTGACTGAACTGTTCACATCCCCAGAACTAGAACTTGTCCTGGACTCTCTGGAGCAGGTCCTGGTGGTCCTCCTTGCACCACCCTTGACCTTGACCTCTGTCCCCTTCCCTACACTGGTCAAGCTGTCCCCAACACCTTCATCTACATCACTTGATTTTCTGCTTCTGCCTGGCTTCCCTCTGGAGGACTTGGCAACCTTTTCTTGTGATGTGGATGATTTGGCGACTTTCTCGGTCCTTGCATTGTTTGCTCTCACATTTTCAACCGATTTTGACCTTTTAACTTTTTCTGTTTTAGCTGTCTTTGGTTTTGGTTTTGGTTTTGGTTTGGTTTCCTTTTCAACTGTGTCATGAAGTTTTTTTCTTGTCATTCTGCCATCTGTTTTCTTTTTCTTAGTTGGAGACTGAAGAACCTCTGGCAGTTCTTCACCTGCTTCCTATAAACCATGAAAATATCACAAGCTTTGACTGACATGACTTTAAACGAGGTCAGTGAAAGCCTCTGACAGGGAGGACATTCCACTGAGCAATACATTTGACTGGGATAGTTTAATCATAGCAATCATTTGTATCAGGACAGACACACAGATGCAGACAGATGTTTCCCTGGGAATGCACCAATTAATGAGACAGTTAAACTAAAAATATTTTAAATGTCAAAACTAATTTCCATTTACAAGCTTTTCACTGTTTGTCAAATTGTTTATTGTTTGCTTAAAGTTTATCTCTCTTTCCACAAACAAGGCTAATTATCGTGCAGCTTAGTTGCATGAGTCTCCTGGGTGTAGCTTGGTGTATTTTACTTACCACCATCTGTTCTGACTTCCTCTTCACTATCTTGGAAGTCTTCTTCACCCTCTTAGTTTTTTGTTCTGAAACAAAATTAGATAACTGAAACACGTATATGCATATACATGCATAGAGCAAGTTGCTATTTAAGATTGTTGGTTATTTGTTTGTTGTTCTGAAACAAAATTAGATAACTGAAACACGTATATGCATATACATGCATAGAGCAAGTTGCTATTTAAGATTGTTGGTTATTTGTTTGTTGTTCTGAAACAAAATTAGATAACTGAAACACGTATATGCATATACATGCATAGAGCAAGTTGCTATTTAAGATTGTTGGTTATTTGTTTGTTGTTCTGTAGGAGTGAGTGAGTGAGTGAATATGGTTTTACGCCGCTTTTTAGCAATATTCCAGCAATATCACGGCGGGGGACACCAGAACTGGGCTTCACACATTGTACCCATGTCGGAAATCGAACCCGGGTCTTCTGCGTGACGAGCGAATGCTTTAACCACAAGGCTACCTGACCGTCCCTGTTCTGAAAGAAAAATTAGATAACTGAAACATGTATATACATGCTTAGAGCAAGTTGCTTTTTAAAATTCTTGTTTATTTGTTTGTTGTTTTACGCTGCACTCAGAAATATTGCAGCTATATGACGGCAGTCTGTAAATAATCAAGTCTGGACCATTTTTAACAATATCACAATGTTTTCAGATTAATAAGGGTGGATAGCCTATCTTAGACATTTACTATATGTTAGTCCCATGCGAACCCGTGAAGATCCAGGTAAGAATTGGTCTTCAGCAACCAATGCTTGAAGTAAGAGGCGACTAACAGGATTGGGTGGACAGACTTGCTGACTTGGTTGATTCATGTAATTGTATTCCAATAGCATAGATCGATTCTGTGTGAAACCCATTTCTGGTGTCCCCCGCCGTGATATTGCTGGAGTATTGCTAAAAGCGCCGTAAAACCATACTTACTCACTCATGACATCAATCACTGGACTGTCGGGTCCAGACTCGATTATTTACAGACTGACATCAAATAGCTGGAATATTGCTGAGTGCGACGTTTAAACAATTGTCCGTGAGCAAGGGAAGGGAGGCAACTCTGTACAGCAAATTGATCCTATGTGGCCTCACCTTTTGGCACCATGGGTCCTGGGTCTCCTGTGAACCAGATGGTTCTCTTGTTGTGGTCTGCCATGTTCTTCATCGTGGGATTGTAGTAGCACTGGAGCCAGTCGGTGAACTCTGTGAAGGATTTCTCGCCATAAAGACCATACCCGGTTGCCCCTGCCAAATCCACGACATTCTTGTTACAGTGAAATCATATATTAAAGAAGAAATGTTTTTGTCTGCAAGAAGGCCTGCATGATCCCAAGACAAAACGATATGAACATTAGATACATCATATATTTACTGGAATTTCTGAAACTTTACATATTTTACAAAACGTTACAAAGAGCATAAAAATGTTTCATAACCATGATAATAATTCATCAATACTATGAATCTGGGTTAGATACGGTCACTAGTTTATTAAATGGAACTTGATTTGCCCCCAGATCTAGTTATCAGTATGGTAGTTACATGAACGACAAGTCCGAGATCAGGTATGGACTAGTTGGACTACCCGGACTACCCCTCCGTATGTCTTACAGCTTTGGGGAGGTTGGGTAGCCTAGTGGTTAAAGCGTTTGCTCGTACTGTCGAAGACCCGGGTTCGATTCCCGATATGGGTACAATGTGTGAAGCCCATTTCTGGTGTCCCCCGCCGTGATATTGCTGGAATATTGCTACAAGCGGCATAAAACCATACTCACTTACTCACTGGCTCTTACAGCTCTCTTCAAAGTGTTTAAAGCCTTGAGCAAACAAACCAGTGGTTGATGTTGTGAGCATCATGATGGTAAACTGACAGTCATTCAGGACACAGATGAGAGCAGCCACTTCCCACAGATCACCCAATCACTATTATCCAATCCATGCAGCCAACTGCTTTCCTAGACAGTACTATCCATGCAGCCAACTGGTCGCCTAGACCGTACTATCCATGCAGCCAACTGGTTGCCTAGACAGTACTATCCATGCAGCCAACTGGTCGCATAGGCAGCACCTGTGTTCATCTTGACTAACTTCAAAACAAGCTACAAGTTTCACCTATTTCAATGACCTCTAGAGGCAGGAGGTTGCACATTTGCAGGATGTCCGGACTCTCAGACTTGACCACCACTTTCTTCTCTTTCTGACCAGGGGCCAGTTTCTCCAGCACTGACCGTGCACACTCAAATGGCCGCACTCCACCTCTGTCAAATGCAAACAAAAATTTACATACATTTATATCATTTTACATCTAACATTTTATTTATATATACCTTTACAAATATATTTAACCATATGTATCATTTTGCATGCACATTATTTTACATATATCATTTTCAAAATCAGGTTACTATGACATATAATTAATTGCCGTAAGAAGGGACTAATGGGATCGGGTGGTCAGCCTCGGTGACTTGTTTGATGCATGTCATTGTATCCCAATTGCGTGGATCGATGCTCATGTCAATCACTGGATTGTCTGGTCCAGACTCGAATATTTACAGGCCGCTGTCATATAGCTGGAATACTGCTGAGTGCGGCGTTGAACAACAAACAAACAAAAGATTCACTGTATTAGATTACTGAGTCACACTGACATCAGGCACTCATTTGTATACCGGTATTCTGAAATAATTATGGGGATTATTTGATAAAATATTTAGCTCTTTACAAATGATGCCATCATATATATTTCCACTTTCCACTCGGTCCACTATGCTGCCTCTCATTTGAATAAGAACAGTTTGACTGAGTCTGCTATGGTGATCGTGATGACAGCTTAGTTTGTTCCCAACACAAAATTACTGCAAGTAGAACAGGTGGGTGAGAGTGAAGTTACCCTTGCCCCATTACTGACTCCAGTACCTACCTGTATAGTATTTCTGCTCGGAGATAGTTTCCAATACCATTGAAGTACTTCTGGTTGAGCAAAACTTCACAGATTGGTTTGTTGAAAGCTGCCTGGTGAAGGTTGTCCAACACTCTCTGTCTGAAACCGCAGTGTTATAACTAAGTGAGCGGGGTCTAACACTGCATTTAAATATTTTCTTCTGTTATATCATAATATCAGTTTGATTTGGGGGGAAAGGCTTACAGCTAGGTCTTAACATTAGAAATTACCACTTTGGTGAAACACATGTACATGAGTATAGAGCTGATGAACCTATGAACATAATCAGGAAAAACCTGGATTCAAACCCGGGTCATTGTCTTCTGGCACATCTAGCTAAGGGACGCAACACCACACAGCGTGTTACTGCATGGTATCAGACTGAGCCACTTGTGCCCCTGGCATGGTGACCATGAGGCTCATATCCTTACTTTCACTGTCAGAAAACAATTTTCACTGTTTTCACAGAAGATAAAGAAGTAAATGAATTGGGTTTTTTCCAATGCTTCTCCAAAAGGGCTGGGATGGGCTGGGGAACCTCAGGTCGGTTGGGTAACTGAGTAGGACCCGGGTACCCACAGGACTACCTGGAGCCATGGTATGACAAAAAATATCTAGAACTCTATGGTTACACTAAAAGTCACTAATGTTCGCATCCTTTTTGACTATGCACCCATTCTTTCTGACTATGGTTGAATAAAGATATAACTTAAGTCAACTTCAGTATATGCATGACCAGACTGTTTAATACATGTATCTAAATATGTTTTGCCAGGGCTATGTTAAAACAATTCCCAATCAGACATTTTGTAAATATCTCTTGAGAGCTACAGTGGGTACCCGGGTAGGGTTGGGTAAATGGGGGGATGGGTACCTGGGTAGTAAATTTGGACTCATCCCAGTCCTATTCTCATATATATATATATATATATATATATATATATATATATATATCACAAAATACAGTATATATATATATATATATATGTGTGACTATTTCAGACTGTTTGATATATGTATGCATAAATATAATAGACCACAGTACTAGTGATTTAATCAGCATAGTTCATGACCATAGTAACTGAAAGTATCATAGTAACCATGGAGACATAACCTTTTTATAAACAGAGTACACTGTTTGTGTAGTTTATCAAAGAGTGTGATAAATAAGTTTTCATTAACGATTCTGACTACCTAAACGCTGGATATTCGAACATCACACACGGCCCTCGATCAGCTCCCCAGTCCGCGCCCTCGCTCCACTTCCCAAACCGTCTTTGGTCAACGAAACTCAACACATTACGATGTGAATCTTCTTCCTCCTTGGTGTAGAAATTCAAATGAGAGTGTTTCTCCATTTCATCAATGCCACAAAAATGAAATTTCCCAGACATACCAAACTGAAACATAATATCAACGGATCGTGGGGAGATTGCGGGTTTCTTCTTGTCTTTGCTCGGACTGTCATCTAAAGCTGTCAGTGTCAATTTTAACTCCTTCCCTCGGGACGAAGCCGAGATGGTGTACCCTTCGTGTTCCCAGCTCACATCCTTACTTTTATGCACCTCCGACTTCATAATCTCCCCTGCAAATACTCTTCCTTTGCAAACAAAGTTAACGAATCTACTTGCGAGGTGAAGTTCTGGGCCTTCTGGCATTGCAATGTGGTTTAATCGCTACCTCCAACAACCTGCCGTCAACACGTGTTTGTGTTTATGTAATTGTGCAAAACATTTAGGAGTTACCTCCCTTGTAACAGCTTGCATCAAGCTCCTTTCCAGCGCGTGACACCTTCGTTACACTCTCGGTCGCATTGACAGCTGTGAGGAGCTTGGGCTTGCGTAACGACAGCTCAACCCCAGCACCCGGAGATTTGGATAAGTCGCGTTCACATGGACTTTGTAGTAATACATGCAAAACAATACATTCCCAGTGTAAAGTGTCGAAATCAAATAACCAGCAGGCCCGTATTAAATTACTTTTATTGTTTGTTACCAGAATGCCAAGAATAGGCCCAAATTATGTAGTCTTGTATGAGGCGCCTTAAAATTTTAGCTTATCTAGATCTATTTAAATTAAGGCCCTATTTTGCTTTCAAGAACTCGCCTTTTTTCCACAAACAGAAATATTGATGTCACAAATTCGATTTTAAGATATACAATAATAATTGAAATCATGAAATAGTTTTTGATATAACAAATTCGACTTTTAGATTTGGATTAAAATGTTTGTTTTTTGTGATATGTTTTAAAAACAAATCGAATTTGTGTTATCAAAACTTCAGAAGTATTTTTAATATCTTAATTACGATTTAGTGATATCAATAATTCATTCATATCTTTTAAGTGTATTCATGAAACCAAGTGTTCATTTCGTCATGTGATTTTTTTTTTTTTTATCAGTCGCTTTTTCACATTAACTGATTTAGATCTATTCACTTATAATAATATTAATTATTCACTTATTAATATCGAAAATTACATTTCTATGTTGTTTTATCTATAAATGATTTAATGATATCAAATAACTGAATTTACGATATAACATCTATAATTAATTTTGTCATAACACAAATTCAAATAGATTATAGTCTATTAATATCAATCTAAAAAAACCCCATCAGTTTTATTGATTTATCATCCAAAACTGGCTCCCACGGGAGATATGGCTTGGATGAGATCAAGCGATATCCACACTGTAGATATCGCTGCAATGAAATTACGTCACCATGCTTTGCAGACCATTGTGATGTCACTGGTTACCATGACGTCACAATCAAATGACATCACTAATGACTCTGCTACTGAAGCTGTTTGCAGTACTTTTTACACTGAAGACACTGCTAATTACTGTCTACAAATTGAAAAAGTTGAAAGAATGATGTTGGATGATAAATAAAATCTCACCCAAGTGTCTCTTGATATCAAATATATCAACACTCGTTGATAAAAGTGGCAAAAATCCTCGGCAAGCCTCGGAATTTTTCCACTTTTTTCAACTCGTGTTGATTATATTTGATATCAAGAGACACTTGGGTGAGATACTCTATATACCTGAGAATCGAATTTGTTATATAAATAAGATCCGGGTACGTAGAATAGGTGCAGCAACCCATGCTTGCCGTAAAAGGCGACAAGGCTTGTCGTAAGAGGCGACTGCCGGGATCGGGTGGTCAGGCGCGCTGACTTGGTTGATGCATGTCACCGATCCCAATTGCGTGGATCGATGTTCATTATGTCAATCACTGGATTGTCTGGTTCAGACTCGATTAGTTACAGACCGCTGTCATATAGCTGGAATATTGCTGAATGCGGCGTTAAAAAAACAAACAAACAAACAATATAAATAAACGCATTATCGATAAAAAAATTAATTATTGAATAAATAGTACAACATTGTAAATAGTACACTAAACAACGTCATGAGATATATGTGCACAACATACCATATATATATATGTGACAGTGTGTAGAAACGGCTAAACTGGTTCCACTGTTGGTACGCGTAGTGTAGGTAGACAGAAACCCAGTCTAAGCGCTGCAACACCATTGAGGTTTCTCATGTTGCCAGTGGTCGTTGTTTGCATACTCTATGCATCTATTTGTGATTAAAAACACTCGACTAAAGGAAGAAAGAGTTACTTCCCGTCACTGTAGATGGCGCTAACTTTCAAGATGGCAGCCTCCATGTATTGAATTGTTTATCAACACAACTGTAATATTGCAGTTGGCTACACATACTGATATTACTCCCGTAGAAGTCTGGCTGCTTGTGGTTTTTCAATTACTTGAAGGCAGAAAACATGTCGGCAGGTACTTGTTTCCTGGCTTTTTAACACACGTGATTTGTCTTGGTGCTGTTTTTGTCAACAATAGCTGATGCTGTTTTGTAAAGGCTTCCATCCGTATCCATGCTCTCTGATAAAACATAAAAAAAATAACTACAGGAATTGCTCAAATCTTGGATATGTTTCCAATCTTAGTGTATCAAGAATTTTTCTTTAATTTCCTATTGCGCTATTTAGATACAAAAGGTGTGTTATTCCTTTATCTGAAGATATCCTGGGTCTGTAAACTGGGTCTGACACAAAAGGGTCGATCCAAATAAAGGATTTAAGAGAGCTTATATGGAAAGGTGGGACTGAAACAATGTTTCTAATGCATTGTAAACATGTGCTTTAAACAGATGCAGTTGATGACAGTCCACATGATGATAGTCCTGATATACAGGAATCTGAACCAAAACTGACCAAGGCACAGTTGGCCAGGATAGAGAGAAACAGGCAAAAAGCCCTCCTTCTAAAACAAGCTCGCTTACAGAGTAGGCCTTATCCAGAGGGAAAACCGTAAGTTTTCTGTTATCCTAATCATACATAGTGGTTATGCATGTTTGTTTATTTGTTGTTTTATACTGCAGAAAATGTTTGACAATATGAAGGCCTGGGAATAATTATTTGGACCAAATTTCAAGGCTGTCAGGTGCATTGGCACCTAATCAATCATATGACTACAGTTTAAAACAACATTGGTCATAGTTTGTTTTATGAGGCCCCAATTTTCCAAACAAACCTAAGTTAAAAAAAGTCATGTCTCAGTTTTATTCTCAAATGAAACTGAGTTCAATTTCTGACTCAAACTGTGTTTGAAACCACCTACCACTTAAGTTAGCCTGTAAGTTTCTCATACTCAGGTTCAAACCCTAATGCAGGTACTTGTAATGTTGACGTTTTGGTCTTCGGGCTGTTCAAGGTATCCCTACCAATCTGTTTGCTTCTATACCATTTTGTGAGGATGTCTTCACATCAAGGAAGTGATTCTTAAATGGAATCTTTCTTGTGATGTTAGTTCCTTGTCCCATGATCCCAGAGTTGTTTCAAAATATGATAGGGAAAAGGATGTCAGTGTTGTCAGAACAATAGTATTTGAACCCTACTCTTTAGGGACATCACAGGTATTATTGTTTCCTCTGTATTTAACAGTCATTATTCTCTTTTTCTCTGCTTCTGAATGAACGACTATTGTGGAGAAACTTTACAAATTATTCTCAGGTCTTGTCATTTGGACTGTGTTCAGAAATAATCATCTGGTTTGATAAATACACTTATATCATGCATATTAATAATAACACTGATTTATGTTAACAGATGGTTCAGGAGTGATAGCTTTAAGCAAAATGATCACTGTTGATGAGAGTATAATATTGTATTTTTACTTTCCTTCATATCTATTATGGAGCCGTTTGTGATCCTTGCTGACTTGTCAGCATCATATCGGTGCCATTGTGTTTCACTTAACACAGAACATAAATGACCTGAGGTTTGGACTTTCTTCCAACACTCAAATTCTGTTCAAAGTGGTGTTATACCCAACTCACTCAATTTCTTTCATATATTAAGTAACCATGGTAACATATAAATTGAGTTATGTTTGAATAGATTCTGATTTGTGAGTCAATGCTCAATAAATGTTAACCTTATGGCTTATTATTTCTCTATTTGTGAGATACTTCCTAAGCATTTGAAACACATGTTTATTTGCGCTAACAAAACCCACAATATAATACATATTTAAGAATTTGAAGAATTTCTCCACTGAATCCTTCAAGAACTGATTAGAATGTCCTTTCTTCTACTCTATTTCAACATGGTGATATTTACGTAACCATGGTGATGCTGCTTTGTTTGCAGGGACAAACACAAAGTTAAGGCTCCACCTCGTGAGATTGACTCTGGTGGAGGGTTCTACATTGAAGAAGACGACGAAGCTCTGCAGAATGTACACAAGAAAATCATCCATCCTGAAGGTAGCACCTTGTTGTTATTCTCATATTTTTGGGCGGGGCATAGGACCCAGTCTTGTAAGAGTTATGTACCTTGGACATGATGGAAAACTGTGGTCATGAGCGTGAATCACGGTTCCACCTGAATATGTTTCTAGGTTCTACAGAACCCCAGCCACGTTCGTGGGCTTCACCGAAGTAGTAAACATCTGAGAACTGTATTACTTTGGGCTATTCTCCCACTTCAAGCAGACTCATTGTGACATGAGTGATGGTCAGGTGTGGTGATCATGTGTGCCAAGATGGCACATGGTGTCCACTCTATAAACGACAGGCTTTCCTGACTAAACTAAAAACTCCAAGATATTCTTTCATTCTCAGTATGTTTACAAGGTTAGGGGCCAAATTTCAGAGTTACCTTATGGACCTGTGATGCTAGTGCCAGAAAATATTCAGATGCAGGCAAATGATGACAGTCTGAAGATTTGTATTTTTAAAATTATATGTGTATTGCAGGGTCATTTTCACATAGGCTGTTACCATGGTAACACAGCTGAAGTATGACTATAGTGACTTAAGCATGATTAGCTGGGACATCTATCTGGGATATCACCTCAATAATGTGTATACTAATTCTTTGTCCTGTACTGTTAGGGCTCAGTAGACTTAATGGCTCTGATATGTTGGTGTGTTTACATAAGCAGAAGCTCAGAGGTCACTATGGTTGTTGCAGGTGCCGTGCTGGCAGTTGACAACCTTGTGTGTGATGGATGTGGGAAGGAGTTTATGGAGTCCTTCCTCCTCAACCACTTTGAATTGGCTGTCTGTGACATATGCAGGTGAGGACAGTGTAGTCAGTTCAGCCATTTAATGTGTTTGTTTGACATATGCAGGTGGGAACTGTGTTGCAGTGTGTTCAACCGTTGATGTGATTGTTGTCCGTGTGTAATACAACAGTAGGCAGCCTTCCTATCTTTTATAGACCTGAAACTGCAGACAGCAGAATCAATCCAGGTCATCTTGTAAAACCATTTGAAAATCAGAAATGTTTTTTGCAAAATGATGAGTTTCAGACTAGGTATACAAAGCTATGAATATTAATGATATGCTTATTTCAGTTTTGGACTAGGTTTGTAGACAATATCATTACACAAATACATTTCTTATGAAAAACATAACAAGCTGTTAATTAAGCATGTTAAGTGTTGAGTCTTAATGGTACATTATATGAATCTTACATTGTTGAATCTTTAAGTGTTTGATTATGTTTGTTTCATCTTGCATGCAGACAAAATGAGGAAAAGTATGGTTTAATCACTAAATCTGATGCAAAGAAGAGGTTTCTGCTGAAGGACTGTGACTTTGATCAAAGAGAACCGGCACTGAAGTTCATCATCAGGAAGAACCCGCACAATGAAAGATGGGGAGATATGAAGCTGTACCTCGAAACTCAGGTAGGCACAAACCTCATGGAAGCTGTACCTCGAGACTCATGTAACCGCAAACCTCACTGAAGCAGTACCTCGAGAACCAGGTAACTGCAAACCTCACTGAAGCTGTACCTCAAGACTCAGGTAAGCACAAGCCTCACTGAAGCAGTACCTCGAGACTCAGGTGAGCACAAACCTCACTGAAGCAGTACCTTGAGACTAAGGAAAGCACAAACCTCACTGAAGCAGTACCTGGAGACTCGGGTAACCGCAAACCTCACTGAAGCAGTACCTTGAGACTAAGGAAAGCACAAACCTCACTGAAGCAGTACCTGGAGACTCGGGTAACCGCAAACCTCACTGAAGCAGTACCTGGAGACTCTGGTAAGCACAAACCTCACTGAAGCAGTACCTCGAGACTCAGGTAAGCACAATCCTCAATGAAGCTGTACCTCGGGCCTCAGGTAAGCACAAACCTCACTGAAGCAGTACCTCAAGATTCAGGTAAACACAAACCTCACTGAAGCTGTACCACAAGTCTCAGGTAGGCACAAACCTCACTGAAGCAGTACCTCGAGTCTAAGGTAGGCACAAACCTCACTGAAGCAGTACCTCGAGCCTCAGGTAGGCACAAACCTCACTGAAGCTGTACCTCGAGTCTCAGGTAGGCACAAACCTCACTGAAGCAGTACCTCGAGACTCAGGTAAGCACAAGCCTCACTGAAGCTGTACCTCGAGACTCAGGTAAGCACAAACCTCAATGAAGCAGTACCTCGAGACTCAGGTAAGCACAAACCTCACTGAAGCAGTACCTCGAGACTCGGGTAAGCACAAACCTCACTGAAGCAGTACCTCGAGTCTCAGGTAACTGCAAACCTCAATGAAGCAGTACCTCGAGACTCAGGTAACCGCAAACCTCAATGAAGCAGTACCTCGAGACTCAGGTAAGCACAAACCTCACTGAAGCAGTACCTCGAGACTCGGGTAAGCACAAACCTCACTGAAGCAGTACCTCGAGTCTCAGGTAACCGCAAACATCACTGAAGCTGTACCTCGAGACTCGGGTAGGCACAAGCCTCACTGAAGCAGTACCTCGAGACTCAGGTAAGCACAAGCCTCACTGAAGCAGTACCTCGAGACTCAGGTAAGCACAAACCTCACTGAAGCAGTACCTCGAGACTCAGGTAAGCGCAAACCTCAATGAAGCAGTACCTCGAGACTCAGGTAAGCACAAACCTCACTGAAGCAGTACCTCGAGACTCGGGTAAGCACAAACCTCACTGAAGCAGTACCTCGAGTCTCAGGTAACCGCAAACCTCACTGAAGCTGTACCTCGAGACTCGGGTAAGCACAAACCTCACTGAAGCAGTTCCTCGAGTCTCAGGTAACCGCAAACCTCACTGAAGCTGTACCTCGAGACTCGGGTAGGCACAAGCCTCAATGAAGCAGTACCTCGAGACTCAGGTAAGCACAAACCTCACTGAAGCAGTACCTCGAGACTCGGGTAGGCACAAGCCTCACTGAAGCAGTACCTCGAGAGTCATTGTTTGATGCTGTATTGTGTGCTTATGGCGATGTGAGGTCAGGTGAAATGAGTTTAACCTCACATTCATGGTTGTTACACATACTATCTGATGTTCATGCACTTGTCTACAGCAGCTTGTAATAGTCCGGACTTTTGCGAGTTTGATAGTGCTAGTCCATTGACTTACCATATTTAGCATTTCGAACAGTCACTTGCCTAAGGAGATACCATAAGATAACTGGTAGATGTTTGTTGTGTTAGGAGGTAAGGGAGGTAACTCCAGTCAGTTGCAGATATGTCAATTCAGTGGCTTTCAGCAGGCCAGAACAACTCTCTATATTGTATAAAGGAAAGGGAGGTAATTCCAGTAGGTGTACAAACTTGGTACAGTAGGGTGTACTGGCACCAGATTGTGGCTGCTTATCAAGTGGGATAATAGTAAAAGTAATAAGAAATATGTTCGAAGTTAACATAAGTCAGCGGCTCGACTGATCCTAGTAAAATTCAGTAAGGACTTGCAACATTTCCTTGTGGACTACCACTGTACCATGCGGAAGATGGCAACTCTAGAGTTGATTATTTTTATGGACTTATGAAAATAAATATTTATCCTGCAGGACCCGAATCCTCAAAGAGTGCTTTGATGTACTTGTTTGTTTGTTTGTTGTTAAACGCCGCACTCAGCAATATTTCAGCTATATGACGGCGGTCTGTAAATAATCAAGTCTGGACCAAACAATCCACTGATTGACATCATGAGCATCGATCCACGCAACTGGGATATGATGACATGCATCAACCAAGTCAGTGAGCCTGATATCCCGATCCGGTAAGTTGCCTCTTACGACAAGCATAGTTGCCTATTACGTCAAGCATGGGTTGCAGAGGACCTATTCAACCAGGGATTTTCACGGGTCGATGTACTGGTACTGACAAGTTGCTGCTGATTGGAAGCTCCGTTGAGAACCACATCAGTTTATGGCTCTGAATTAAACAGTCTCTACATTTTGTCAATCGGGCACTAATACTACCTCAACCAGAAAAAGGGGCAGTTGTGTAGCCTAGTGGTTAAAGCAGGGGTCCGGAAAATTTAAAATCCCAATCGGTAATTTGCATTTAGGCCACGTCCCCTTCAAATCGCGTAGCGTATTTTAGTAAGACCCTTTCATATGTATATTATGACGTATTCATAATATATAAACAATAAAAACACTGATATACATGTTGTTTGTAGTTTTATTTACATGCATAAATATAAATATTAATAATAACAATGCCATTCTTTTCCCGCATCATCTATCGACAGGTGGGTTTCAATATCTTGGCTATCGATTCGTTGCCGCTGTATAAATGTCTGTTTCGTCTGCCCTTCCATCGTCGTAGCGTCCGTCTAGGGTCAAAGTCCTTCAGTCTTGGTCCGCAAATTGAAATCCGCATCAGTCTGTCCAATGTTTCCGTCGTCAAAGAGCACCTTAGTCGAGTCTTGATGAGGTTTTGTTTAGAAAAACCTCGCTCACACTCTACGCTGGATACGGGCAAAATACGTCCGATTTCCATTAGTTTCACTACATTAGGGAATTGTTCCGTCAATTTAGAAGCATAGGCAGTAACTAACATCTGTCCATATGTCAACTGTCTGTAATTGTTGTACACCAAAGGCCGAAATATCCCCCATTCTCTCTCTCCAGAGCGTCTTTGTCAACAGGTGTGTGTCCTTGTCGTCTGCTACCGTAATGGTGTCCTAGAGTCGCTATACTCTTGTCCCCATAACTTGCCAAGTCACGTGTGTTGTCAGGGAAGCCCGTTGGGTCTAGTGCACCAAATGCACTGTATAGTTCGTTGTCGGGGAATCTGTCCGTTACATTGTCAACTAAAACTTGTACGCAGTCCCTAGCCCTATCAGTCAGTGTTCTGTCATGATGTGATCTCGTCATTGTGACACTTTCAAACTCGTCAGTCTTCGCCAGAAATTCTCGTAACTTCGGTCCATACGTCGGTGTTTCGGTCAGGTACTGTCCCTCAAGTCCATCTAGAAAAGCGTTGATAGTCCTCCTCATGTCACCGTAAGTCGAGTCTGTAAAGCCCTACTTACAGTCCCTTTCATACCAAAAACGTCCTGTAGGAAAGCTGTCAAAAATCTAAATTTGTATGTAGTCAATTGTCGCAGCAAAGAGTCTGCCATCATGTCCGTGTCACTATTGTCCTCAAGCATGGCAATAAGGGCAGGCAAAGCTTTTGCACAGTTGTCAATTGCTCGTGTCATTGACAGCCATCTCACACGATGCACCTCCAATGGTCTTACTTGAGGTTCGTCCAGTAGATCCTGCCACATCTGGAGGTTTGATAAACAATTTGGCGAACGGTTGAAAAAGGAACAAATGGTGTTCAATATACTCTCATAGTACGAGACCTCCTTCACTGATTTTGCGACATCCACACATGCCAAGGCCAGTCTATGTGCAACACAATGCATCTCAAGAGGACAGAAATCCTTCATGTTCGCAGCCACACCACCCTGTTTGCCTAACATCACAGCAGCACCATCTGAACCCATCCCATACACTTTCCCCAACACAACACCAGAAGTCTTAATAAAAGCTAACAATGCAGAAGTAGTGCTCTGAGCATCAGCAGCATGTACATGTAACAATTTCACAAATTTGATAGACAAGACACCATCTTTCAAATAACAGATAAATAGTATTAAATGTTTTTCACTAGATAGGTCTGTACTTTCATCAATTAGGAAAGCAATCGGTGGACTCACACGAATCTCCGCAAGTAGTTGCTCCTCAATGAGATCCGAGATAATATTTACGAATTCAGATGCTGCATCTCTATAGAGCTTGGATGTGATTTTCGCTCCGTGTAATTCAGCAAGGTTGTTGAGAGATTCGAATTTCTGGAGGGGCAGGTTTTCCGAAGCAACGAAGTAAATGTTCCTTAGCAGGGTGACCACTGCCTCGTCGGCTTCCTCAGTACTCGGTAATCAAAAAAAAATATTTGTAAAAATAAATCTCACGACCGATTGTATTTTATTATTATATTATATAAATAATTGAAGACAGTAACGATAGTCATATTCGTTTTTATATATACGTTTTATATAAAAATATTATATTTACCTTGTCAAATAGAGCCTGGAGTGGTTCATCTGCCGACTTTGCTTCAGAAAGGAAAGCGACGCTGTGATCTTTGCTGCCTGCATGGTCTGTTAAGGCTGTCTTTCTGAAGTTTTGTGATCCCTTCACAAAATTTCCTTTCAGACCGTGCTTCTGACACATCTACAATAAAAAAATAATATCATTTTAGAATTACATGGTCAGTCTTCTAATTAATATTCATGATTTGTAGCTGTGTTTATGTGTTGTTTCATTAACCGTTAAAGCGTTCGCTCGTCGCGCTGAAGACCCGGGTTCGATTCCCAACATGGGTACAATGTGTGAAACCCATTTCTGGTGTCACCCGCCGTGATATGCTGGAATATTGCTAAAAGCGGCGTAAAACCATACTCACTCACTCAACCAGAAAAAACAGTGGTCAATAGTGTAAGCATCTTCCACACATGGGCAGGTATAAGAAGAGAGTCATTTGTGATATGACTGAAATATTGGTTCCACTGGCATTTATCACAGCTGTCACAAAATCCCGATATGGTTGATGGGATTGGGTTGCAGTGCTTGCTGCTGATTGTTTGTTGTTTAACGCCACTTTTGGAAAGATTCCGGCTATATGATGGCTGTCAGTAAATAATCAAGTCTGGAGCAGACAATCCATTGATTGACATCATGAGCATCAATCTACGCAGTTGGGAGAGGATGACATGCATCAACCAAGTCAGCGAACCTGACCACCCGATCCGGTTAGTTGCCTCTTACGACAAGCATGGGTTGCTGAAGACCTATTCTAACCCAGATCTTCATAGGTGAAATACTACTTATGGCTTGCACAAAATTAGTAGTCCATCTATTGTAATGTGACAAGCCTCTTATCCAATAGAAAAGTGGTATTTTATGTGAATTTCACATTGAAACATTTTTAAATCATGACCATTATGATGTATCAAGACCAAAGAGACAACCAGTTTCATATTTGTTTACAATTGTGATGGCAGTTTTTGCCTTGTTCCTAGACAATGCACAATTTCTCCAGCCTCTGGGTAATGAGATGTATGTCAGCTATCATATGGGAGTTACTGATGCATGACTTGTTACTACAGATTACAGATCGGGCCATGGAAGTGTGGGGGGACGAGGAGAAACTGGAGGAACAACATGAGAAGAGAGATCAGAACAGAGAGAAGTCCAAACAGAAGAAGTTTGATAAGAGAGTTAAAGGTATGTGATCAATAGATGAAACATGAATTGTTTGATAGGCATTACTTAGAAGTTGAAGGATGACAAAGTAGACACAATTTATGGATAACAACTTCTTTAATAACTGTAAAGGCAACGGGTATGGTGCAGGACTTGATTGACAACAATATAAGGATCTATACCAAAATTCGCCTTTACAGTAATTTTAAGAAGTTGTGTCTACTTTGTAAGATGAAACATACTCACACCAGGGTTGTAGGGCTGCCTCTGTGGTCTAGTGGAAAGAGCATCTACCTGAGAGCGGAAGGTCGTGGATTGGTCCTGGGCCGCATCATACCTAAAAAGTTAAATAATGGTTCTTGTTGTGACACTGCCTGGGCTTGCACTTTAAAATCAACATTAATCTAATACAAGCAGACACTCTCCCCCAACACCACAATTGTAAAATGTGAGATTGTTATTTAGATTTGAGTCATTGTGTAACTGTTGAATTATTTTTGCCACTAATGTGCTGAAAGTTTGTATGTACATGATACACTGATCATGCATAAAGGGTAATTAATTAACACAAGGGACATATACTCATGATTTCCTGATCCCCGTACTGGAACATACCATCTGCATTAACAGGGTGTCACAGTAAACCATTGAATAACAGGATCTTTCAGAGAAATTCAGCCAAAGAGTGGTTTGGTCCATGAATATGCATTAATTTGGCTAAAACGTCCTGTGATTGAATGACAGAGAACTACAATCCACTCTTGTCTTATCTGCAGAGTTGCGGATGGCAGTCAGAAGCAGTTTATGGAGGAAAGATTCAGGATCCCATGAACATGACTTTGGTGAAGAAACATATGACGAAGATGAGGATATGTACTCCAAAACATGCAAATCGTGTGGGCATGTGATGACATATGAAAAGATGTGATGAAATTTAGAACAATGTGATGTATGGAATAAGGAAGTCTAGGATCTGAATGGATGGCCAGTATAAACATCTAATGGATAGTTTATCATAGTTCTTGGTATTGGCCATCAGTGGTGTATGATTAGAAGGTGTTAATGCGCAAGCATCATGTTTGTCAAAAGTGTGATCAAAATGTTGGACTGTCTTGTCCTCGTTTAGGGATCTATGAAGAAAAATGGAGAATTTGAAGGTCACTATGAGTTAACATGTCAGGGTGTGGTCACTGTGATGTGGACCTGTGAAGATCCGGGGTAGAATAGGTCGTCAGCAACCCATATATGGCGACTATGCTTGTCGTAAGATCAGGTGGTCAGGCGCACTGACTTTGTTGATGCATGTCATTGTATTCCAATTGCGTGGATCGATGCTCATGATGTCAAAAACTGGATTGTCCTGTCCACACTTGATTATTTACAGATTGCCGTCATGTACCTGGAATATAGCTTCGTCAAACAACAAACAAACAACCAAACAAACTACTGTGATGTATTGTTTCATGGGTTTAATAAGCTCATTATAAATGAGACGAGCCATACAAAAAATAATAATTATGTTCTTTTCCTGATATTGAAATATTTTGGCAATTTTCATTGGACAAGCATTTAAGGGGAGGAGCTCAATGTCATGGAAGCTCATATTCTGACAGAATTCTCTTCAACAACACACTTCATCTTCATCAACACACTCAATGACATTTTTAGAAACTTAAATTTGTTTGTGATGTTTTGTTCAGGGATAGCATGGAATCGGATCAGTTTGAGTTTGAATGCAGTTCAACTGGTTTTACAGTTCATGTTACATTGTGTAGTGTCATCGGGAGAAATATGTTTTTCACTGCATGTTGTAATAGATTCATCATGGAAGGTAACATTTTCAATCGGCAATGGAAAAGACCCTTTTCTCTTGTGACCAAAGGCCTTTGGATATGCAGAATGTCTGTTTGCAGCTTCCTAGGTTTGTTGGTGTGGTGGGGTAGCCTAGTAGTTAAAGCGTTGGCTCACCACGCCAAAGACCCGGGTTTGATTCCCCAGCTGGGTACAATGTGTGAAGCCCATTTTCCTGTGTCCCCCGCCGTGATATTTGCTGGAATATTGCTAAAAACGGCGTAAAACCATACTCACTCACTCACTCCTACATTTGTTTAAAATATCACAGAAGTTGATGAATCTGATTGGTATATATTATGAATTGTACTTGATTAAAATAAAATAAAAATGAATTTGACATGCCTAAATTTAATGTTTATTACAATTTAATTCCAACACCATAACTACAATAAATTGTTATCAGTGAATTGCATTTTTGCAATACTATTTCTTTTCAATTTGTATTGATGTAAAGAATGAACAATCACAATAATTGTTTGGGTTATTTGTCCCAGTGGATGTGTTGATGTTGGACATGATGCACAGTCCGCTCATCTCACTGCATTATCATCTTCCATCATATCAAAGAACAACTGGATAATATTCAGAATGATGGTAGTATGACATTGTAGAACTATACCCAGTGTCGTTACTGAAGGGTCACCCAGGTATGTAGGGTGTCAAACATAAACATACACCAACAGGTCTGAGTATGTTGACAATGTGATCAACAGTTGAAGAACATATTGTTTATGCCTGTCACACAGATTGGATGCATTTATGAAACTGGAAAATGGACAACGATTATTAAAAACAATGAAACATGCAAGATTGAAGGCGATGGAAAACGATACCAAAACTCACCTGAACGCAACCAGCGGTTTAACCATGCACATGCAATACATGACATGTAACAGTCAATGTGGGCACAAAATGGTTCATTCCAGATGCAACTGAACTGCATCTTGGAAGTTGAAAACGTGATGATTTGTCTCTGCATGACCAGCTCAATAAGATGCTGAGTATATAAAGAAAATGAAGATAAGATAACTATGGTTATCTATAAGAGAGGAAAACTAAGATTAGTGATGAACAGATATTTAATTATTAATCTGAATCTGGTATATTCTTTCATACCAGATTGGCATTTTTGACAAATTACTATAATTTAAGACTACAGTGTTTCAATGTAGAAATTCTAGACTGCTAAAGTGAAATTAACAAATCTTAAACTGTTCGGACAAATGTGGGAATCTACAGAGTTTCGGATTCATAATGCGATAATTTCACAACTGTGGACTTTGTGTTTTTCATTTACCTATTGTGTATGAGTTTAAGGCAAGTTTGTACAGTATTTCTGTTACATCAGGCATTGCAGCTTAATGTGAGAGAAATACCTTAAACCACGTGAGTGACGTCATTCTATTGTTTTAATGTCAGGACTGACAGTTGGTTGTCAGTTATTCGCGTTGAAGCATCACGGAACTTTATCTTATTTTGTCGCTCAAGTGAATATTTTTTCAAATTTTGTGGGAAAACGTGTGTCGCAAGCAGGGCTTGAACCCTCATCGTGCGATTTGTGGACGTGTAAAAATCGACCTGTCATCGGCGACACATGACAGAACTTTATGAAATTATGTATTAAATATTTTCAAATATTTGTATTATCCTTTAGATGTTCGAATATATTATGTATATCATTATGTTACATCATAATGCCAATTACTATGTTCATGTTAAAGTATTAAAAATGGAGGTCCCGTTTTCGCCCGACAATTAGTAGCCGTTTTCGACAAATGAGGTGCCGTTTTCGCCCGAGAAATCGGTGACGTTTTGCTGAGGTGCCGTTTTAGCCTGCACCCTAAAGGATTTAGATAACTCTTTGGTTTTGAAAAACAAAAACAACAGATAAACATATAACCTTTTTCAGGGCGCTATATTTCCAATAATCCCCGTCAGCATGTTTTCAAAACCTCCAAGCAATTGATAACGAACGAAACTGTAAAGAGTTCTGTATTGTAAATATCAACTCGCAACGGAGCTTGGCGCACGTGCAAAAGCACAAGAGAACGTTTTCCCCGTGCAACACGCAAAGACGACTCGCACACTGTAAATACAAGCCTCAAAGAGTTCGAGTTTATTTTCCAAATAATTTCCACAAGAGAATGTTGTCAAAGTCTAAAGGTAGGGATGTGTTTGAAGTAGGGAAATATCCTCGGAACGCTCCATTCTCCACAACTAATGCCTCGGCCCCTGTGCGTTCTCGGGTCCACCGTTGTTGAGGGATGAAGCGACATGATGATGCAGGCCATGTAAGTTGAGGACGTTATACCAAACACAGGTACTGTCTCACAAAACAAACATCACCCACAGGGATAATCGGGGATTTGACTACAACTTCTTATTAGACATCAACATCTACATCTACAGAAGGTGAAGTTCCAAGTTAGATTGATCTAACCCGTGAAGATCCAGGGTAGAATAGGTCGTCAGTAACCCACGTTTGCCGTTAAAGGCGACTATGCTTGTCGTAAGAGGCGACTAACGGAATCGGGTGGTCAGGCTCGCTGACTAAAAGGTTGATGCATGTCATCGTATTCCAATTGCGTGGATCGATGCTCATGATGTCAATCAGTGGATTGTCTGGTCCAGACTCGATTATATACAGACCGCCGCCATATAGCTGGAATATTGCTGAGTGCGACGTTAAACAAAAAACAAACAAACTATAAACAAATTGATCTTCAGCTACTCGGCATAATTGACTAAGAGGCGACTAAGGGGATCGGGTGATCATGCTCGATACGCTTGTCATTGTATCCCAATGGCGTAGATCGATGCTCATGATGTCAATCACTGGATTGTGTGGTCCAGACTCGATTGTTTACTGGCCGCCGTCATATAGCAGCAAAATAGCGATGAGTGTGGCGTTAAACAACACACAAACATCTACATCTCGCTGAACTGCTAATCCTTTGTCAGCTCAGCCTGATGGACCTGGGGAAGTGATGCTGGATCCACGCTGGATCCATTGATATCGGGCTCACAGTCATGTTGGTATATTTGGTTTCTGACCTAAACCAGATAGCGATTGTTTTTCAGCTCACCAAGATTTAAAATTCAAGATGGGTTTTGTCGTCGTGTGTTGACCGTACGTTCATGTCAGATGAAACTGTACGGGTGGCCCAAATAATGCTGCTTAAAGAATTCCGATCTGATATGTTTCCCACGGAAGTGGTAATTTAAAACGCCCCATAGCGCTACGTTGAGTTGCTTATCCACATAACTTGACACGCCAACTAACTGACATTCTGTCCAAAGTGGCCTCAAAATAGGTCAATGTTTGTATGTTAATATATTCAGTGACAATTTTAACTCTTGTTACTGCGACCTCTCTACGTTTTCATGCGACGATAAACGATGCGTTTTTTCTTGTATCCATACATGACGGCATATTTGCTAAAATAAATTACTACTCGTTTTATGATCTCCCACAGCGTTTTGGTCAGTAAAATATCTCAAACTGTGTTGTAATTAAGAGTTTTAAGTTCACTTCTGAAAATAGCTTTTCGTTTTGAGCCGTTTTTTAAAATATTTATAGTCAAGAATTCACGTAAATATGCGTATCGCGATACGTATCGTATCATGACCTTGGTGTATCGTTTCACCCGAGGCCGTCCTCTGGAACCTCCATGCTATTAGGAGGTCCCTCTGACGATAAATACCATGGATTCATTCGCTACTATCTATAACCTTTAACCCGGTGAACCGATATTGACCAAGCCAGCATAAGGTCGGGATAAATAGAACCTAGCATCAACCTATCCAACTAATTCTGAAGGCAGAATGTCTATCGCAGACGAAATCCACAGAACACGTTCCCTGATCATGAAAGGGTGCGATTTGATAAATTAGTGATTTTTTTTTCGAAAAAACTTCAAATATATAAAGGATTTTTCAAACGTTGAAAGGGTACCAAATACGAAATACTATTGCGTCCCGCGTACCACACTGATGAGTCCCGAATACCCTCTAAAAAGACCCTCGAATCCCGCGTACCAAAAGGGGGCTAATCAGCAGCCTCAGTTTTAACCGGAACAAGTCATCGTTACCACATGCCGTATCGGACCGCCATTGGTTCATTGCCGTTTTAATCATGCCGATTCTGTGAGCTGATATGACGCCAGTATTGGCCCAAGTATGTCTTGTTAGCTGGGTGTAGAGATTCTAGATATTTATGTTATACAAGCTTCTTATCAGACATTGTCACATGCGTCGGAGGGTATAGGGTCGCTGCCTAAGCTGTCATGGCGGCCATATTGAAAATCGGTTTTGAACCTCTTGAACAAATTCAGGTGTCATCATTGGTGGGAACATGCATGCTCAACTTCTGAGATGACCGCAACAACCAAAGAGGGTGAGTGAGTTGGGTTTAACGCCGCTTTTAACAGTAATCCATTTATATCACGGCTTGTCAGCTTAATGTGGGAGGAATGCCCGAAGTGATGCAGGTCTCAGACGTTTACCACTTCGGCGAAACCCACGAGCACGGGTATGGTGCTCACAAACCTACAAACATAATCGGGTCGAACCGGGATTCGAACCCACAATCATAGGTTTCTGGCGTGCCCAAGGGACGCAACTCTGAACAGCGAATCGCGGCGCCTTAGACGACTAGGCCACCCGTGCCCCCTCAACAACCAAAGCGGCCGCAGAGGACAGAATGTAAGTTCTCTTGACTTTCAGTCAGTGAGGTCAAAGGTCGTCCTCCTCCCCCCCCCCCCCCCCCCCCCCCCCCCCACACACACACACACACACTCACTCCAATTTATGTATGTTACATGTGAGATGAGCTGTACAGTCAACTACGTTTATAACGAACACGCTTATAACGAACTTACTCCCCCTCTAAAATTTGCTGTAGTTATGTTGTATATATGTTTATAACGAACTACGGTTATAACGAACTAAAATTAGTGATCCCTTTGGGTTCGTTATAACCGAAGTTTATATAGGCTGATTAATTACAGAATGTACCTAGGAAATAGAACAGCCTCCGATTCATCATGACAGTGTCTGACACAACCCACATAACATACATATCCAACATCTCTTTCAACGGAACTACGTAGGTTTAACGTGTTCACTTAGAATTTGATATGTTTTATGATGACAACATTTAGTGCAGTATAAAGCAATCTCCCCACGCCGTGCTGGCGGTGAAGGGTTAACGCGCAATACTACATGCCAAATTGAAATAATTGTACGTGGGTAAAGAGAAGTGGGTGTTTCCTAATTGCTTAAACCAACAGCATACAAACCAACTTAATTAACATTATATCCAGGAGGTAATCGACGGAAGGCGAACAAAGACCCATGTAAACTGGTGCTATTATTTCTATGCGGCCCCATCGCCACTCAAGGTCAACATGACCCATCATCACTGTCGGCACACACCGAGCATCATAGTGTGGAACTTCATTCACGGAGCCTTGCGATTTGCTGACTATTGCGCAAGGAGTCGCCTCGTCCCGGAATAACCCGAGCTTGTCACGAATGAAGATGCCATTGAAAACACGTCATCACTCGTGTCTCTCCGTCAGGCCCGTGATTATAGGACATCTGTGTGTTGTGTGTCTGGCATGCCAGTGCTTTCCTTCGGTACGTATTAACAGTCACAAATGTTCGGTGAGATATACTGTAGGTTATGCCCGCATTATCGACGTCAGCAGGGGTGACTGCCAACGTGGCACTTTGACCCTGGTAGTGATTACAAATATGACTGCAGTTCAGCATTACTGCTTTACGGAAACGGACGAAAGGAGCCGATCTGCCGATGTCGGCTTCAGAAAGAAACTATTTCCCTATGTTCATCACTATACAATGAGTGACATAATATTTCAGGGGACAGATGAGAGACGGGATTCAGTTATTTGAAAGAGTTTAATCTGAATGTCGTCAGCTGTACGGTATACGTGAGAAATCGATATACGTTTGGACGAGTGCCACATCTTTAATGTCCAGACAGACATGTTTGTAAACAAACTGTAGTGTAAGGAGAGCTATGAAAATGAAACCGTATTTATGTAAGTTTATTTTTGAAAATATGTACATTTTGAGTTATTTTGGTATGTTTATGGTGATGCACCCGAAGTTAAGTAATTAATTATAGAGGGAAGAGCTATTGTCCACATTGATCCTATATCCACTTTAACGCCAGCATCTAACTATGTAGCCACATGGCGCTTAATGCACGCTCACAAAGTGAGGATCGTTTCAATGCCGGGGAACCAGGGCAGCGGTTGCGTAATGCGTGCAGTGTAATGTATAGGTGTCTGTCTGGGGAGGGTCGGTGGGCCGAATGTGTTCGGATGTATCCGCGTATGCTGACAAACTTCGGTCGGAGGAATACAACATCATCACTACCAGCTAGTGTCATAGTACTATCTTTTCATATACATGTAGTACAACCGCGGAAGGAGACATCACAATGAGCTGATCATACTTATCAGTGTGGGAAATCGAATCCGGGCTTTGGCGTGACGAGCTAACGCTTTAACCACTTAAGATACAGATATTGACCCATGTAGGGAATCGAACCCGGGTCTTCAACGTGATCGGCCCTGTTTACGACACAGAGCCCCCATACACTGTGGACATCGATGGGGGTGAGCAATGTGCGAATTAAGTCAGCATGATGTTACGATTGGTATTAGGTGCACCCATTAGGAACACGTACAGTATAAGCCATTTTAAGAATATTAAGTCAGCTGTGCCGGAAAATATTATAAAGGAATACTTGACATGCTCCAACACCTTAATACAGTCAAGTCTCGTTGATCCGTTACTCGTTTATCCGACAATCGGCTTTATCTGACACAAATGATGGGAACCGATTAAATCCGTGAATGGATTATTTATTTGAGTGTCACGCATAAAATACAGATTAATAGCCATATAGATGAAATACATCATATTTTTTATGCAAGGCCTGGGCAGGCCGAGGAGACACTATTACTACAATACAATGATTCTATATTCAAAATTTTAATATATATATATATCACACATCAAAAACTATTTCATGTAATAGGTTACATACAGTTATTTAAAATGTGTTGACATAACGCTTTCTTCGAGAATACATATTAAAACACATTTGACCAAGATTGCTAAGAATGCCATTATTATTTAAAAGCCGCTGTATTTGCTCATCTAGAATGTTATTTATAAAAGAAGGGTTATTGAAAAAGTTTGGTAAAACAGATGGACGAATATCATGATAAAATGGGCACTGTAAAAGAAAATGGGTTTCGTCTTCAACACAATTAAGATTACAAAATTTACAAATGCGTTCTGCAGCGGGGATTGGTGGGTTAAAATATCTGCCCGTTTCTATTGCTAGTTGTGTGCCACTTCTAAATGAAGCTAAAATACTACGTTTGTAACGTGGGAGATTAACATAACATTCAGTAGGTAAACAAATCTTAAAAAGCCTGTAAGTTCTAAGTTTTGGCATTGATTGAATACGCTGATACCAGCTATTAAAATGTACCTCCTTGAGATGTGCAGATACTTTATGGACAATACACCCAGGTGATTTGTCAAGGGAGGTAATCAGTGGTACAAGATTAAAACCGTTAAAAACCTTGAGAAACTTATTTTCCCATCAGTGCTGAATCAGTACTATTTAGACGCGTTAATACGACAGTCTCGCACTCCGACTCCGACACACCTAATTTGCAACGAATTGCTGAAATCATTAATCCGTCTCGTTAATCCGACACAGTGATCAGCGTACTCCGTGGTCATCTGCCCGCGAGTACACAGCCCCGTGTTTTGATGCGAGACGAGTCGGCGAGTAGCTGCGTATTTAAACGGCTGCAGAGATAAACTTGCTTAACAATAAACAATTACTGTTTTAAATTAACAAAGCATGATTAATCACATTCTTCACTGATTTCCAGCTGTAGTTACGGCAATGGTATCAATCCAGATTTTTGCGAACCGGTACACTCGTTATTACTAAGGAGATGCATCAGTCCCTGACAACCACAGACAGATACCCTGAGTATCCTAAGTAGGTTAGGGGCATATATGCAAGTATATATTACTGATCAGTGTGTATGCAAGTATGTATTTCTGATCAGTGTATATGCAAGTATCTATTACTGATCAGTGTGTATGCAAGTATGTATTTCTGATCAGTGTATATGCAAGTATCTATTACTGATCAGTGTATATGCAAATATGTATTACTGATCAGTGTGTATGCAAGTATGTATTACTGATTAGTGTATATGCAAGTATTTATTACTGATCAGTGTATATGCAAGTATATATTACTGATCAGTGTGTATGAAAGTATGTATTTCTGATCAGTGTATATGCAAGTATCTATTACTGATCAGTATGTATGCAAGTATGTATTTCTGATCAGTGTATATGCAAGTATCTATTACTGATCAGTGTATATGCAAATATGTATTACTGATCAGTGTATATGCAAGTATGTATTACTGATTAGTGTATATGCAAGTATGTATTACTGATTAGTGTATATGCAAGTATATATTACTGATCAGTGTGTATGCAAGTATGTATTTCTGATCAGTGTATATGCAAGTATCTATTACTGATCAGTGTATGCAAGTATGTATTTCTGATCAGTGTATATGCAAGTATCTATTACTGATCAGTGTATATGCAAGTATGTATTACTGATCAGTGTATATGCAAGTATGTAGTACTGAAAAGTGTGTATGCAAGTATATATTACTGATCAGTGTATATGCAAGTATATATTACTGATCAGTGTATATGCAAGTATGTATTACTGATCAGTGTGTTTGCAAGTTTGTATTACTGATCAGTGTATATGCAAGTATCTATTACTGATCAGTGTATATGCAAGTATGTATTACTGAAAAGTGTGTATGCAAGTATATATTACTGATAAGTGTATATGCAAGTATATATTACTGAAAAGTGTGTATGCAAGTATATATTACTGATCAGTGTATATGCAAGTATGTATTACTGATCAGTGTGTATGCAAGTATGTATTACTGAAAAGTGTGTATGCAAGTATATATTACTGATCAGTGTATATGCAAGTATGTATTACTGATCAGTGTGTATGCAAGTATGTATTACTGAAAAGTGTGTATGCAAGTATATATTACTGATCAGTGTGTATGCAAGTATGTATTACTGATCAGTGTACGTGCAAGTATGTATTACTGATCAGTGTGTATGCAAGTATCTATTACTGATCAGTGTGTATGCAAGTATCTATTACTGATCAGTGTATATGCAAATATGTATTACTGATCAGTGTATATGCAAGAATGTATTACTGATCAGTGTATATGCAAGTTTATATTACTGATCAGTGTAAATGCAAGTATCTATTACTGATCAGTGTATATGCAAGTATTTATTACTGATCAGTGTATATACAAGTCATGTATAACCGATCAGTGTATATGCAAGTATGTTTTACTGATCAGTGTGTATGCAAGTATCTATTACTGATCAGTGTATATGCAAGTCGTGTTTTACTGATCAGTGTATATGCAAGTATGTATTACTGATTAGTGTATATGCAAGTATGTATTACTGATCAGTGTATATGCAAGTATGTATTACTGATCAGTGGATATGCAAGTATGTATTACTTATCAGTGTATATGCAAGTATGTATTACTGATAAGTGTATATGCAAGTATGTATTACTGATCAGTGTATATGCAAGTATGTATTACTTTGTGTACCCGTCTGACAAGTGTAAATTGTCACGGCTCCCATGGCCGAAATCTTCCCGAGGCAAGAGAGTTTACTGACTTTAAAAGTCCAGTTTCTACCCTTGCCGAACTAGGCTGGAATTCCTGGGCTCGATCGTAGCGCCACCAGTGGTTATTATGAGTTATGTCCCTTCTGAGCCTCTCCCATGGACCAATCCCATCCCATCACTTGCATTTCTTTCTAACAAAATAGCGGCGTCTAACATCGCGAAGTGCATCAAATCACGCGAGCACCTTGATTAAAAACATGCAAAGGTTTCGAAAATATCTGAGTTGGCGGTGCACATGCTTTGCAAATCCTGCAATCGACCGAAATGTGCACGACAGTTTACGAACCGGATTTCGATTTCGGTGCGCGATTTTGATTGGACTATGCATAGACTCGTTAGTCCAGCCAAACTGTAACTCCATAATATCAGCCTAGTTCGGCAAGGATGGAAACTGGACTTTTTAGTCAATTAACTCTCTTGCCTTGGGAAGATGATGGCCGAAAGCCACGAACACACACTGCCATTTAGGAAGTGGTCAAATGTAACAAATGTTATATTTGGGACAACACTTTCTTAGTTAAATACATATTCTCGGATTCGAACTCACAGTGAGGCATTTAATCGCCAGCACACAAAGTCAGCGATCCAGAAAGTACGTGATCTAGACTACCAGTTTTTCGGAATATCGTTTTTGTGGAAGCCTCGGTGGCCGAGTGGGTTAGATCACTGACATTGTGTGCGATGAGAAGTGTATTGAAAAGCCGGGAGATTATGTTCTGGAATCAACTTTTTCACCATCCCTCGTAATAACTTTCCCTTTGAGATTATGTATCAAGAATGAGTTGGAGATGCCAGGAACCATTAATCTGCTGAACTTGTCCATTTGTTTTCTCGTTCCAGCTCTGACGTCCGAAGATAGCTTCACTGTGTGGAAAACAGATTACGATTACGATAAGAAGTAATTAACCAAACTCAAAATGGATAGCAAGTTTTGTAGGCTAAACGAATATATCGAAGAAGAGGAAGAAGATCTCATGCTTGAATACATAAGAAAAACGGGGATCAAGGCAAGTGACTATAACAGTGATCTAGGTGAAACCTACCCGTTAGATTACGCTGCCACAATGGGAAACGTCAGCATATTTAACGCGCTTGTGGACCTAGGCTACTCTATAGAAGGAGAGGAAATTCATCCCATTTACGAGGCGTGCTCGAGGGGACACCTGGAACTGTTAGAAGCTCTTGTTGAAATCCACAACGTTGACCCTTCAAAACCAGATCCCTATGGATCAACCCCGTTGTCAGTTGCCGAAACCGAATGTCATTTGCACTTGGTGAAGTATTTGATAAATAAGGGCGTTTCAATACACGCAACATTCTCGGATATGGAGTTTGAGGACGTCACACCGCTTCACCACGCAGCCGTGTGTCCAGCGCCAGAGATATGTGAGTATTATATATCTCTAGGCGCCGATTTGGAAGCTAAGGATAAACATGGTGCCACACCGCTGTACATGGCAGCGGCCTGGGCCACTGAAGAAACGTGCCCCCTCCTCGTTGATGCTGGAGCATGTGTGGAGGCCCGGAACGTTGACGGCCAGACACCTTTCTTTGCGGCAGTCAAAGAGTTAGCTTCAAAACCATGGGAAAACAATATGTGCATCCTTCGATTGCTCTACTCCAAAGGTGCTGACCCTGAAGCGAAAAACAATGAAGGGAAAACACCTCTGTATCATGCCATGTCCTCCCACACTGTCGCCTATTACCTGATGGTGGAGCTGAATATTTCCCCAGGGGGAGATAATCCTGACGCTAAGGCACTTTTTCATCTGGCCGTTGAGTCAAAGAATATCAATGTTTTGAATCTTCTTGCCAGTCTGGGTCACGATCCAGGATTGATCGAGTGCCTTGATGACCACGAACATCCTCTACATAAGACATGTAAAGGGAAAGAGGCGATGCTGAAAATGAGAGAGATTGCAAGCAATCCAAGGACTTTACAAGAATTGTGCTGTTTTGTTGTGAGAGTCTCACTCGGAAAGGACTTGGCCAAAACTGTTGAATCTCTTCCCTTAGCTGAGAGTGTTAAGGCGTTTGTGAGGCTTTCACACATACCTAGTGTGGTTGAGTATGATTTTGATGACCAAAAAGATGATGAAGACAATGCAAGTAATGAGGACGAAGAAGAAGAAGGAGAGGATGAAGAAGAGGAAGGAGAGGACGAAGAAGAGGAAGGAGAGGACGAAGACGAGGAAGGAGAGGACGAAGAAGAAAACGAAGCGGATAGTGGGGAAAATGATGATGAAGATGGTTCTGATTAACGCGAGAAAAGAGACGACATGGTAAAAGAACGTGAGCACAATGAAGAAGGAAACGATAACGAGAAATAGTCAAACAATGCTCACAATGAAAAACAATAGTTTTCTAGTAATACTAGCAATACTAGTCATGACCATAGAACAACACTGTCCACCGTTGACTTACTTGTATATTCTACGCTTGGTTTAAGAATGTCTGTTTGACGAATGTGTTTGTCAAGGTGCACGGTAACTCAAGCTACACCAGGGGGCGGTCAGGTAGCCTTGTGGTTAAAGCGTTCGCTCGTCACGCCGAAAATCCGGGTTCGATTCCCGACATAGATACAATATATGAAGCCCATTTCTGGTGTCCCCCGCCGTAATGTTGCTGGAATATTGCTAAAAGCGGCGTAAAACCATACTCACTCACTCACTCACTCACTCACTCAAGCTACACTATGAAGCTGCTGACAATTGTGTCTCTGAAGGGACCATGTGATTAAATCACTCGAAGTATAAGGAAGCGTGAGCATTACTTCAATGTATGTGAACTGGAAACTTTGATATTTAGAAGACCTAAATAAGGATGTTTTGAAAATTAAATTGCTGCAATTAATCAGAACAGTACTGTTTTGACATTTATCCGTTTCAGTCATGAAATGATTGAATATTTAGTACTTTGAATAAATCATTTCAGTAGTGCAGTTGCGTCAGTGTAAAATAATTTAATTTAACTGTTATTAGGAATGCAAGTGATTTAGGGATATACATTGAATGAAAAATTATCTGTTTAATTTGTGGTAGCGTTCACGCATCCGATGAGTGTATTGGTCTCTAAATAAACAGGCAATATGCAATCTTTTTTTTTATTATTTTCAATATTTTTCGGTGGTTCAAGTATGGCATATACTAGTTTTCATGGTGATTACAGATAGCAAATATTTTCGTTATGATGGACATAAATATTCTTAAAAGAGGATACATGCAATTTCTACCTCTTTACTGTTTCTTAACTTAAGATTTTTTGAGTAATATTGACTGGGCCCTTTGTTTTTTGTCAAAACAAATTATAACAATATAGGATTTTAAACCTTTCCTCTCAAGTATCTAACATTTATCGTCTTATTGTAGCTTTCTTAACGCCTTCATATATTTTCTATTTTGTATCTATAGAATATTTATCAATGAGGTCTTGTAAGGTGTAGAATATACCCTTTTCATTTGACAAGTAACAAAACAACTCCTTTTGTCATAGCAATGGTTTTCAAAGTCTCTATTATACCATATAGATTGTACTTACACTTCTGACGCTTTATCAATTTCCTCTTTACACTATGATTTCAGCCGTGACCATGAATGTAGAAAGTCCTTCCAAAACGGTCTTTATCACCAGTTTATTTTATCTCGATGCCAAATCAAATTATATTTGTTGAAAAGATTGAGCAATAATGGTTTCTTTTATTCTTGGTATCTTGATATCCCCCATCTTTTGAAATATCCGCAACAACATCTTATTTTATCTTATCTGGTTTACTTTTTAAAATAAATTTAAAGCATAACATTTAAATCAATCTGCTTGCTCCATCAATCCGGTTACTCCACCTATATTTTGATTCCAACTTTGTAGTCGCCAAATTTGTAAATAAAGCGAGAAAACTCTTTCCATATCCAATAGAAATCTCAGCGTTAAGCAGAGTCGATTGTACAATTCCGACTATATCATGAGCATGTGTTTGTGAATCACTATCAAATAGTAATGACACCAGGTGTTTGCAAACGATGAGCGTATCCTGCCCCACCCGTGGCACCCGTCACAAACACATGCAAAGGCAAGTCAGTTGTTTACCTGACAAAATATGGGAACATATGGTTCAAGTCAAAATAGGGAATTGCATTGGACATACTTTTTTGTCACTGATGCGTCAAATTTGGAAATGTCCTCCACATGGCTACTATGGCTACTTACATTTTGAAAGCTTTACTCAGGCCTTGAATGTTGTAACCTTGATCAAACAACTTCTGAGCAAGAGTCGTATGACGCTCTTTGAAATCTTGGTAGAAAGAGCATGCAAGGCCATCGAGCACCAAGAACAGCGCAAGAGGATGGCTGGAAAAGACTTGTCCGGATCTCACCGTTGGGCAAATGAAATTTAATGATTCTTTGTTGATGGGAAAAATATTTGACGTGTGCTTTCAAGCAATAGTAAGGACACTGTCGTCGTGGTGCTCACTGTGTGCCCATGGGGGTGCCTACTTCTTGCCTAAATGTCCTATCCCCAAGTTTCAGCCTGTGACTACAATTACTTTGTAGAAACATCATATACACCTGTAATATTGCTCGACTTCTTATTCTCTAAGCATTATCGCTCAAAACCAAAGCTACACACTAACTGGTATTTACGACCATATTTTACACATTGATTATATCTATTAGCAGTAAACAACACTTTTATACAGCCAATGTTTGTTTGCAAATTACATTTGTTGTTACTCCAATTTCATGTCAAATAGGTGTTGTTGTTACTCCAATTTAATGTCAAATAGATATACAGTAAGATTAACACTATACAACGGCTGCTGCAAGCACCTGTCTCGGAGGGATGTCATCTGTGGACAAACGTAAAAAATGATAATCATAAACAGTCACCTTCACCTTATATAGATCCCACTAACTATTCCTTTAAACGTTTTCCCGTGAATTGTCGGGAAATGAACACATTTATACAGATATGCAATTTGCAGTGTGGGTTGCATCAAACATTTTACCAACAGATGGTTTTGACAAATCAAATAAATGATAGGAATAGCCGAATATTAATTTTGCACATACAGGGAGCTGACACATTGTTGTTTGGATAAGTAAGTGATTGTCCAGCAAGAGTCCTGAGAATTTCTTGAGCTTTAGTCTTGCTGAAGCACATGTTGCATGTGGTGCCCCTGTTAACCCAGCAGTGAATGGGTACCCGGTAGGATTTGATGCTTATGTGACTGGTAACTTTCAAGTGCCTCACAGGCAAGTTTGGTCGTTTACTCCTCAGTAAGATGAGAATAACATTAATTGACCGGGGTAATAATATTGTGTAGCGCCCGCTGAGCAGCAATCCAAGTTGGAAGTACATGCGCTTTATAAATGCTATATATGATATACGAACACACGAATATTGGACTCATAATGGTATCATTTCAGTGTACATCGATGGCAAGTGTACTCGTGGTGACTGAAACTCTCAGAATTAAACACAGTAGAAAAACAACAATACTCCTCAATTAAGAGTGTGCAAAGTTTCAGGATGAGTTTAATGACGCTCAACTCTACACTAACAGTTAACGGTACAGTAAATGGACAAGGACCAGTCGTTGTTTACAGTCCAGTTATATGACCAATTCGATGCATTCTACGAAAAGTCACTCATCGAGTAAAATTACATGTTTAAAAATAAATCCATGAGCTAATTAGTCATTCTTTCAATGTACAAAACGTGGTTGGCAATAATTTTCATCTTACATTTATACAAGAACATTGCGCTGAGATGATGAAGAAATAAAACACAGCATCAGTTATAACATCCTTTTCACAACCAAAACTTTTAATTCCAATGTACGATTAAAGTTATGAATGTGATAACTTGCTCCTAATCAGCATTTCATAAACTGTGACCAGAAAGACGATCTCTTTTTCTTCAGCAGTCTGAAGCTTAAGTGTGTTTTTTCGAAAATACTATAGCTGGAAATGGTTTAGGATAGACACGAGTACAGTCATCTGTTCTTACATTCCCTAAATTCGTACCATTTTAGCATCGAATCAAAGCATATTTTGTCTATTCTCATTGTCTCAATGATAAAGAAAACAACGGCCATGAACGAAGTCTTCTGGCTTAGAGCTTACTGATCATACATAGCATGACCCTCCACAAAAGCATTCGGCTTTGTCTGTGGATTATCAAAGTAATGATGATAATGCAATCTAGATAAGATGAGAGAACGCGCTCTAAAATGTACAGTTTCGACTCAGACCTAAAGGTGAAATCGACTCCAGCACAAGCAACTTATGTTTGAATTGAAGTCAGGTAAGTACCTTAGGTCATCACCATGGAGTAGCCAGTCACGGAACTGGAATTTGATCTCATACATGCGTTTGATACCAGCTTTCTCAAATGCGTTTCTCATTACATGAGTTTGATACCAGCTTTCTCAAATGCGTTTCTCACGCCATCCGGTATGAGTTTGAGTGCATGATGAATTGCCTCCAATTCAGCCGTGAGTACTGACTGACCATCAGGCAGGCGAACTGCATGTGCTTGGGGTTTGGAGCTGTGGATATGGATCCCGTAACCAGCACTGTTGTTGATAGGATTCTTGGATCCATCATAGTATATATGGGTCCAGCTGTCCCATGTAGTTGGAATTTGAGTGATAGCTACTGATCGTAGTAGGGTTGGTTTTTCTTTTTAGTGACTGCTGATGTAAAATCAGTTTCAACTTTGGGAGTTTTGAAAGTCCAGGGAGAGTGTAACCCTTTGTTGTGGCTTTCTGGAGGCTGAATGTCATCACAATTGTGACCTCGGATGAGTTCACGTACTAATATCCCAGATTGCTTCGGTAAGGGATTTTTTCGAACTAGGGCTTCATCTCGTGTGTTTTTGTCCTGCCATACCCTTTTAACCAAAGGGTTTGAAGTTAGTCCACAGAAAGATAATATTGCCTGCTCTCTTCTTAGTTTCAGTGGGAGTTCTCCCGTTTCTACTTGTAGTGCTTCTAGTGAAGTGCCTGTTGCTGCGCTTCTGGCCAGCATTGGGGCTTTGTATTATATTCTGTCGAGGCGGCTCAAGACAGCATTTGATGCTGAGTGAAAGACCTCACAACCATAGTCTATTTTTTATCTGATAAGTGATGTGTAGAGGTCCAGCTGAGTGTCCCTCGATGTGCCCCAAGATGTGCCTGAAATTGCCCGTAATACGTTCAGGTCTTTTTGACATCTGTTTTTCCACATATTCTATATGTTTGCGCCAAGTGAGGTGTTGATCAAGGATCACCCCAAGAGATATTGCGGAGTTTTCGAATTTGATTGATTTGCATTTTATGGAAACACGGGGTATCATAGAATTTATCCCCCAGCGTTTGAATAGAACTGCAACAGTTTTTTCACTTGAAAGGGTAAATCCCCATTTATTGCGCCATTGATCTACTCCATCCAGGGCTGACTGGAGTTTTTTTCGGATTTGTGAAATATCTCTGAGCTTTGCCCATATTGCCCATCATCAGCGAATTTAGAAGTTTTGGTTGGAGAGTTGACATGATCAAAAAGATCATTGATCATGATGTTAAACGGGGTTGGGTTTATAATGCTGCCTTGTGGCGTGCCATTGTCCAGTGACATAGGATCAGACTGATTCTTCCCTATTTTAACCGATGGCGACCTGTGTTCCCTTCCCTTTGTAAGGAGTCTGTCATGCCATACCATGTGGAAGGCTTTGCTGAAGTCCAGAAATACTGCGGCTAGGTATTATCTGTTTATTGAGCCTTTTTATTTCATTTTTCAGTCTTAGAATATGATCTAGACACGAGTGTCCCTTCCTGAAGCTGCTTTGGTCAGGTTTGATATGGTTGCCAGTTTCAAGGTGATGCACGAGCCTTTTCGTAACCATGGCTTCCATAGCTTTGCACATGTTTGAGGTGAGTGAGATCGGTCAATAAGAGTTGGGGAGGGCTCCGTTCCCTTGCTTTAGAAGCGGAATAACTACAGTATGTTTCCAGGCTTTTGGGACTTCTCCTTTGGACCATGTCTTGTTATACAACTCAGTGAGTAAGCTTTTGGTTTGATCAGGTAGGTTTTTCAATATCTCGTAACTGGTTGTGT